ACCGCACATGCCATTTAGACCCTGAGCACAAAGCCGAGGAGTCTGTAAACAATCTTCCTCCAACAATAAACCCCCAGATAAAACATTTCTCTATCGGTAAACGGAGATATCAAAATCAAAACATAATTCATATCAGATATCAGAACAGAATCCAAGTTAGGAATCAGAACAGATTTCAGATCAGATGTCAAAACAGAATTCAAATCAGAAATTAGATAAAATATTCATAGAAGTAGGGAACACACTAGAGTTTCCAGATATTATTTAGAGATACAGGATAATCTTATCGGACAGAGAAACACAAATCTTCCGATAGAATGTCGAGAATTAGAATCACTATTAGAAGAGTTTGTTAACTGACAAAATCATCAGTTAATCATAATATGCTTATCATGATCATCTTATTCGGACATTTATCGGGAGCTCTAAGTAATCAGAAGGGTATTCAAAATCCTTTGTATATGAGTTACTTATGTTTTCATACATGACCAGAGTGATTTGAGCTGATAAGGAATAACGAAGATCCAGGACCTTTACAATCTATATCGATTGATCAGATTATCGAACACTCCAGATAAATAACTCCCATAACTAATACTTGTCAAATTCATTAACCTTTCAGGGTATTTACTCTTTAATACCAAATATTCTTATCCATAAATCACATTCTGAGTCATCACTGAACAAATCTTAAGGAGACTAACATATATTCTAATGGTTTTTATTTCATTTCCATGTTTCAACTATATCAGAAAATACTGGCGTACTTGATTTGTGGGTCATAATCCATAAGGATGATACATCACGTAAGTTCATCCGAGTTTTCAGGCTTATTCCAATCTCTCACTTAATCCTCAGTCCTTGAGGTTACCTAGTTCATTTAGCAGTCAAGTCTATTCCAACTACTTCGGAATTTTCCAGAGTAGTTCCGGACGTTTTTGAATTTCGGATACATATTGTACTTCCTTTCATTTCAGTTCGGTCTTCATGGTTGATTTGTCGAACAAATATAAAATTCTTAGTACTGAATGCGATCTAGAGTTGCTGAGCTGAATACTTCCAAAATTATCATCGAACCAAACTTGAGAAGACGAACACGTGTTCAAATAATATCTATGTCATTCAGGTACTGACATATCATTAAGGTTGATCGGCTCACTTAAGTTGTGTTCCATAACTTTGAAGGGTAATACAACACCCATATTTACTAGGATTCCTTAATTAATTTAAAACATCTACTTAGTCTAGGTCATAAGGGTATTTTGGTAATTCTGGTGCTCCGTTTTATTCCATTCATTTCAGAGCTCGAATATATCCAATCATTCCTGAGCTTGGTGATATTCTTGAGTCATTTTCATTACAAGAGTATTTTGGTCATTTTACAGATCTACAGTATTTCAATATTTTCCTTCCATTCGGTCTTAGGGATGGCAATGGGCCGGGTATTGGTCCCCTCGTCCCCGTTTAAAAAAACCCATACTTGTCCCTGCTTAAAAAACCGTGGGGATTTAAACGGGGATCCCTATCGGGTCATCGGGGAAAACAACGGGGAAACGGGTATCCCCGTTTAGCATAAACGATTATTTAAACGGGTATCGGGTCAGGTATCGGGCCGGGTATATATATAATTTAAATTAAATGTATAAATATTATATATATTTTTTAATTTAAATTAAATTTATTAATATTATATATATATAATAATTATTTTTAATATTTATCGGGTCGGGTATCGGGCCGGGTAATCGGGTAATCGGGGCGAGGATTACCAAATCTGTCCCCGTCCCCGTTTAGCATACACGGTTTTCCCCATCCCCGTTTAGCATAAACGGTTTTTCCCCATCCCCGTTTAATTCGGTTTTCGGTTTTCCCCGTCGGGTTCGGATTTTTTTGCCATCCCTATCCGGTCTTATTATTTAATTCCAATTTATCATCTATTTCAGTCCCTTCGAACAATTCTGATAAAAGAGCACCCTCCGATAAAATGTTCTTCAGGTATTTACTTATAACTCGGATATTTTTGAGTCAAGTGCCTTCTCATATTTTACAACCAGAATATCATGAATTTTTTTGTACAAAGACAAGATCTTAACAATTTAATCCGTACTTAATTGAGTTAAGTACGAATTCTCAAAGTACTTTATTATTCAGGGTCAACTCAGGCTATTTTACCTCTCAAGGGCATTTTCGTAATTTCTTAACTAGATAATTTCGATATTAGCTCTTAACGAAAATAATTATAATTTAAAGATCCTATGGTTAATTGCTTTCCCAAATATTCTCTGATCTTGAAATGATTCCTTAACAGACTTCTAGCATCTTGCTCAAACCCTCATGGGGTTAAAAACCGGTTATCCGCATTTTCTAAGAAAAGCTAACATTTCTTATGCACATCAGTAATTTTTACTGGATCAATATATCTTTTCAGAGTTATTAACCAACTTCCAGGGACAATTCTTGTCATCTTACAATATAAGGGTATTTTTGTAATTTTACCCAACCAGAGTATTCCCATAATTTCTCATCCAAGTATCTTTAATATTTAACCCTTGTTGATATAACATATAAGTTACAAATCCAAGGTTGATTCATTTATCACTAATCACAAAACTTGTAACTTAATTCTAACAATCTCTCAATCTCCTATATTAATCATCTGAACCATAATCAGTTGCAAATTTCTACTGTGTTCGGATCGAGAGTAAGAATTCAATAACTATACAAATGAGACCAACATTATCTTATTCATACATTTATCAATATTCACATGTTCCATAAAGCATAAAGAGGTAGTAAAGTATTACCTCGATTTTTGTGCAATATTGATCGACCATAAAAATTCCATTTGAATACCTTTGATCTTCAATTCATCTTACAATATTTCCTCGGATCCATATCAACAGAAATTACATAAAAACGGAGCTTAATTCTGAAAAACGGATCGAATCAGATGATAAATCAGTGAAAAATAGGTTAACAGGTTTGAATTTGGCGAAACAGACTTCGGATTCGGATTCAGGACGTCGAAAGCATAAAATATGACTTTTCGAAAATTTGGAATTTTCAGTCAAAATCAAAGTCAACGGGTTTGACTGCCAATTTCGAGGCCTTCGAGTCCGAATTTCGAAAAACGAACTATGGAATTGGATTTGGAACGTCGAAAAATGTCAGGATATGTATACTCGGTCAAAGTCAAAGGTCGTTTAATTCCCGGTCAAAGCCGGTCAAAGTTTTGGTTAACTGTGATCAACGCTGGTCAACGGTCAACGGGTCGGGTCGGGTCGGGTCAACAAGTCGGGTCGGGTCAACAGGTCGGGTCGGGTTGTAACCGGTCAAATCTGCTCCAAAACCGGTCAAACCGGTCATTTGGACTATCCCCACGCGCAGTGGCAGCGCGTGGGGCCTCTTCCGGCTGCCTAAAAATCACGAAAAATTTCTTAAAAATTATTTTGAGTGATTCTGATATACTTACAAAGCTCGGTTCACAATTTTGAACGGTGGAGAGCTCGATTTCAACAAATCGGAAACTTTGATCGCTTCACCCCTCACGCGCCGCCGTCGACGGAGACCAAGGATGATAGCGGCAGACTCAGAACGATGCAAGGATCACGATGGTGCGGGAGGTGTCGTAAACGGATGACCGGATCGTTGTGAATCGACAAAAAATCAACTGAAATCGAGTTATTACCGACGATACTTCCGACTGAAACTAACGACGAACGGCGACGATTCATAACGAAAGGTTTGAAGGGTTTTGTTCCTCGGTCGACAACGAACACGATGGTGGTTTCGGTTCGTCGATCAGAGGTCGGACGACGAGTAGATCGGAGTTCAAAGGAGGGTTGATGAAGGGGAAAAACTGGAAAATTTTCCAGAAAACATACGGGAATGGGGATTTATAATTCAACTCATAATAAAAATGGGTAAACCATGAGTTTAGTCACTAAACTTTCTGTACTTCTTAAAACGGTCTGCCAACTTTGAAATTTTACAATTTAATCCATCATTTCTTTCAAAATACCAATTAAATCCACCAATTTATATTTACTTAAATTTAGCCCCTAAATTGGGGTGTTACAGTTAGATCCTTATTTTATTAAATAAAATTAAAAAATCATAATTATATTTATTTCAGGTTAGATGGAGTCAAATATGGGTTTTATCTTTAAAAGCGGGCTTTTGGATCAGATGAAGTCGCCTTAAACTCATGTCAGATTTCGAGTGAATGATACAGATTTTTCGGGTCGAGTCGATTGGCCAAAAACCTAACCCAACATATCTCCACCCCTAATCTATATATTAAATTTAAATTTCATTTCAAATGTAAGAGGTAATGTATTTTTGTTTCCGAAGTAAATTTAAAATGTTTAAAAATCTAAAACCTGTTATTGATAATATCTTTTAAATTAAATAGTTGATATATAATTTCAGAATAAATAATATTATATATTTTTATTTTAAAATTACAAGAATTACATAATTTTAATATTTTATTATAATATATTTGAGTGGAATTTATAAAATTTAAGTCGAGTTGAACTACTAGAATTTTTGTTTCAATTTGATTGTAAGTATCTATAACCATATACAATACGTATATATTTCTTTATATTTGAGTGGAATTTATAAAATTTAAGTCGAGTCGAACTACTCGAATTTTTGTTTCAATTTGATCGTAAATATCTATAACCATATACAATATGTATATATTTCTTTATATTTTTTTATATGTGATATACATATATTATACAAAGTTGAAAAACTTCACTCAAACTTGAAAATTAATCAAGTCATTACTAAAAATTTCGCATTACTATTCAAGTTTTGTTTTATAAGATTCAAAATTGATTTTTTTTAGTCGAGTTTATATAATTACTAGTCAAATAAAAATATCAATTTTTTTAGTCGAGTCGAGTTTGCTCACCCTGCAGCGGTGAACAATGGCAAATGAAAATATAGCTTTTAGCTTTTAAGTAGTAGGGGGATATCACAGGAAGGTGTCACGAGAAAGCAAAATGAAAAGCACCCATCAACTTATTTTAGCTTCCATGTTAAAGGGAAGTAAGTATACATGTTCTACAATCCATACAAACTGCAGTAAGTTTTAACAAAGCTAATATTGCACAGCGATCCATCAAGCAAACCCGGAAACAGATTACGCCGCAGCAACAGCCTCCGTGGGCTTTGCTTCGGCTTCCCAGAAGGCAGTTTTCTTTCCGGTCTTCGACACGGTCTGCAGAACGGCATCGGGCTGGATGTTGCCCTTCACAGTCACTTTCTGCTGCTCCAAATCTATGTCATATGATTCTACACCTGTAATGTGTTTCATGGCTTATATATTAGTTAACCATATCAAACCAAATAAAATAACTGCAATTGATTATGATGGCTCATCTCCTGCTAAAAAGTAAGAATTGGCATATATCATTAGATGGGAGTATGATTTCCTATAATCCCTTATTATGGAAAGATGATGAATGCAACACATTATCTTGCGTAATGTTAAACATTTGGTAAAATAATCATTTTGGTTTATATTATCTTTTTTATTTTTTTAAAGTATTTTACTCCAACATTTTGTTTTGAGATAAAATGCCCATAATTGAATACAAATCGTTAATTGACGAACAATCAATACTTGTTGCTGATGTGATAAGTCTTATCCAAAATGATGATGTGTCATATGTCATGTCATCACTTACGTACATTTGACATATGTCATGTCATCGCTTATTAACATCCGACATGCATCACATCATCACTTTGAACAAGCAACATGTGTCACGTTATCACTTGTATGCACATGACATGTGCTACATCGTCACTTTGGAAATACAAGACTCAACACATATCAATGACAAGCGACTATTTAATAAGACATTAAGACTAAAGTGCTAAAAAAATGAATAAAAATCAAAACGACTATTTAATCAAATATTAAGGATATTTTTTTATTATTATACCAAACTATGCCATCATAAATCAGTATCCACTAAAAATGAAATTGCTTCCTGTCCCTGAGTCCAACACCTCTTCTCTTTCCTTTTCTTCTTCTTCGGGAAGTGGGAGGCAATATCTATATGTTACTCGGACTTGTTGATGAGCATGAATCAAATACAAATACGTATCCTACATGTGTATCTTTTTTTGTTTTGAATTGAAAGATCATAATATGATCAAACAAGGATGTACACCATGAGTACTTAATGGAAAACGGAGAATTTGGATGACATATAGTAAGATGCTTGACACTAGTGTTTGTGAAACTTAGTCTAAGATAAATTGAACACCAAAGGTGATGACTACAGAAAAAGAGGGTTAAAACTTAAAACAAACCTTCCATTTTTCCCAGAACTCTCTTCACAGCTCCAACACATCCCTGGCATGACATACCAACCTTGAGAACAACAGTCTGCAGATTGCAATGAACCAATGAATACCCAGTTAAGTTGACCCAGCTCAGCAATTAACAACTATGAACCAGTGATGCCGAGGGGACGGTCGCCCCTAAAATTTTTAATGTTTCGTCTATTTTAGATATACTTTTTATATTTTTTATTAATAATATATTTTCATCTCTTAAATTTATAATTTCATCCCCCAACCTAAAATACTTTCTCTGTCACTGACATTAACTACATCAAATTTTCTAAACTACCAACATACTCATGTAAAACCCGTCCTCCTGCTAACAATAAATATTGTTTAAATACAACAGCTTACCTTTTTTTCCCTTTTTGCACTGTTTAGGCTAAAAGTGAAAAAAAAAATCTAAATACATCAATCTCCATCTCCAAAGTATCAATACCAAATCATTCGAATTCCTTTTTTTTTTAAGTTTTAGCTAACCATTTTCCCCTTTATCTTTGAAACCCAAATACAAATAAATCAAAATTTGATATGATGAATAACAACTTCGAATTGAGCTGTAGCAAAGTCAAAAGGGAAACAACAAAAAAATAAATTTACAGAAACAATAAAGAAATTAAACCCAGCAAATATTCCAAACAAAAATAAATAAATATTCAGCCAAGAAAAGGAAAAAGGTACCTGAGACATGGCTTTTAGCTTTGGAAAAATAAACAGAGGAAGAGGAAGGAGAAGATATTGTTTAGCGTTGGTATGAAGCAGCAAGGTCGAAATTTATAAAATAATTGTGGTGATCGCCACGCGCTTTTCAATTTTATTCTTCCCGTTGCTTTATTTATATGAAATTTACAATATATTTAAGTTTTATTATTTAACATTTATTTTTTATTTATAAGAAGGAACAAATTAATAAATTTAAAATATTTTATCACACAAGTATTAGTAACTTTGTTTTCTTTTTATATATATTTTATTTGATTATGTATTTATTTTAAATTGACCTATTATTATAACGTGTGATAATGACATTTTATTAAAAATAAATTGTTATTTCTCTCTTTCTTCTTCATTTTTAGAATCAACACCGACATTAATTTTGGTGATAGTCGTCGACCGTCGGTATCTATTATTTTTTCTTTCCTTTATTATAGTGTATATTTATTTTTTTATTTTTTCATTTTTAATAATTTTGCTTTTATCATACGCATTCTTCTGTCTTTATGGCACATTTTTATTTGCTTTTATGACATGTTTTTGGTTATTTGGTCGTTGTTTTTCTTTTTTCAGGGTTGAATTTGATATTGTCACAACTAATTAAGATGACGTTTATTTGTTATTATGTTGATCTTCTTGCTTTGGACCATCATATTGAATTTGAATGCGCGATTTGCGTTCGTGGATGATATTTTCACGTCGCTTAATTCTGATTTACAGTTTGTTAGTGATCTGTTGAACTATGTTTTGATATAACAATTTAAGGCAAAATGGTTTTTGGACTTGAATTGAATTTACAAAATGTTTTTGGGCTTAATTGAATTTATTCAAAGTTTTAAAAATAATTCAAAGTCCATTAAATTCAGATTTGAGCGAAAATGCTAAAGGGTGTCAAAGTGCATCCATGCACCCCTGCAGTGCATCCATGCATCCATGCACCTGCACCAGTGCATCGATGCACCATGCAGTGCATCCATACACTCAAACACCGAATGCAATTAGTGCATCGATGCATCCTTCTGTGCATCGATGCATCTTTCTGTGCATCGATGCATCCTTCTGTGCATCGATGCATCAAGGCTGTGCATCGATGCATCCTGCTGTGCATCCATGCACGAAGGATACAACAGCTAGTTTATTTGAATTTAATGAAGGGGTATCGATGCACCTTGATAGTGCACCGATGCACCATGTTATGGGCATCATTTTTTAGTAGAAAAATCTTCCCCAAACGGCTCCAAAACATCCCCAACGACTATATACAACATCAAACACATTTCAAGCTATAAATACAAGCTAAGGACACTTGAAGAAGTAAGAGAACAACTATCCAAGCAATCAAACGCAAGAGAAGAGTTTTTCAATCTTATTTCATCTTTCTCTTGTAAATATTTTGTTCTTGTGAGCTCAATCTTGTAAACACCTACCTTAGAGAGGTTTTCTTGTTTACTTATTTTATCCTTTTGTAAAGGGGAAAGGTTCTAGCTTATCCCGTGTAAAATCTAGGGAAAGGTTCTAGTTTAGCCCGGAAAAACTAGGGAGTTTGTAAGGTTACTCTTTGTCCTCAAAAGAAAGAACAAATTAGTGAATTTGTTGGAAAATCCTTGGTGAGGAGCTAAGGTAGTGGATGTAGACTTGGTTGAGAAGTCGAACCACTCTAAATCACTGTGCAATTCTCTATCTTTTAATCTCTTTACTCCCTAAACACAAAAACCGATCCCGATCCTCTTTGCAAGCAATTTCAATTTTCGATTCGAGCTTCCGAAAATTCCAACAATTGGCATCAGAGCCTAACTCATCAAGAAGGTTTAACCACCTTGAGACGATCCTCGAAGAAGCTCTATCAATTTCTGACACAACCGAGAAGATGGCTTCCACCTCCGGCTCGTTCCACATGGAAGACTCCCTACCGACAAGCCCCCATACTTCAATGGAGTGAACTATCGTCATTGGAAGAAATTAATGAAGTTATTTATCCAAGCCAATGATCTTGATGCATGGGAGATGATCGAGAGCGGATACTCTTCTCCAAAGAAGAAGGATAAGAAGTGGATTGACCAAGAACGGAAGAAAACTCAACAAAATGCCAAGGCCATGCACATGTTGTTTTGTGCATTTGGTATAGATATCTATGAAGGAGTTTCTTCTTTTTCGAATGCAAAGGAGATTTGGAATAAGCTCGAGGAAATCCATGGAAACAAGAAAGAAGAACCAACAAAGGTGGTGTCTTTAATGGCTCTTGAAGAGCCCGATGTATCTTCTAGCTCAAATGAATTAAATTCTTATTCTTTTGATGAGTTACAAGATGCTTATAATATGTTGTATTTGGGATTTGAGACCATGAATTCCAAATATACGAAATTAATTTCAAAACTCAAAATTAAAGATAATTTGATTTTGAAACAAAAGTTGATTTTGAAAATCAAAATGAAATTTTGAAAAATAATTTAGAGCTTTCAAAAATCAAAATAAATGATTTAGAAAAAGAAAATTTTGAGTTAGGAGTTAAGCTTGAAAGCTTAATAAAGAAAAAGAATTAATTTCTAAAAACAACCTATTATGTTTAAATATGGCAAAATGCTCACATTGCCATTATCATGGTCATATGGAACATACTTGTCTTTTGAAGAAAGGAAAACGTTTTAAAATTAGACAAATATGGGTTCCAAAAGGAACAAGGGGCATAGAAACTAATGTTCAAGGATCCAAAGCAATTTGGATACCAAAATTTACTTAAATGTCTCTTGTAGGTGTGTGTGAGCAATGGTGATAAAAGTGATGATATTCAAGATGCTCTAGCCACACATGAAAAAGGAATGGGTAACCTCTAAACTTAATACTTTTGATTTTTGTTATTTGGTTGCTCATTTGGATTTATGCATGCATGAGTTTTGATTTGGAATGATTATGCATTGTTTTAATCTCATGTATGTTGAAAAGATGTTTTATGATGAACATTTTAAAGTTTTAAATGATTTTTCAGAATTTTTAGTTCATCATAATAAAATTTTGGTCAAAATTAGTTTTAAATACAAACGATATCTCTCTAACAATTCATATCAACTTTTCAAATACTTTGATTTTATAAATTTTAAATTTTGACCTAAATTTAAATGTTTATGCATGTGATTTAAAATGCAAAAGATATCTCTCTAACAATTGATATCAAAATTTTCAAATGCATAACATTTTTGGAAAACTTTATGCATATGAACTTAATTTCAATAATTGATATTGCATAAAATATTTTAGACTTGGAAGTATTGAATTTCATGTGCTACTAACATGTTTGTTATTCTTTGTTGAAATTCAATTTTGTTTAAGTGTCATGATTTTAAAAGCTAAATTTTGTTTGGAATTCTATTATTGAGGGGGAGCTTTGATTTTTCAAATGATTTTTAAATGTCAAATTTACCACTTACTCTCCAAAGTTATTTTGAACTTCAAAGATTGAATTATTTTTGATATAACAAAAACGGGGAGAAGTTTGGTTTGAAAAATTCAATTTCTTAATGAAAAAGGGGGAGCTTAACATTTTCATATATTTTCCAACAATTGTTAACAATTGATATCTTTTTCATTAAACAATTTATTAAGGGGGAGTTTTGTTAAAAACAAATTTTCAAATGTTTTGTTATATCAAAAAGGGGGAGATTGTTTAACTATGTTTTGATATAACAATTTAAGGCAAAATGGTTTTTGGACTCGAATTGAATTTACAAAATGTTTTTGGACTTAATTGAATTTATTCAAAGTTTCAAAAATAATTCAAAGTCCATTAAATTCAGATTTGAGCCAAAATGCTAAAGGGTGTCAAAGTGCATCCATGTACCCCTGCAGTGCATCCATGCACCTACACTAGTGCATCGATGCACCATGCAGTGCATCCATGCTCTCAAACACCGAATGCAATTAATACATCGATGCATCAAGGTTGTGCATCGATGCATCCTGCTGTGCATCCATGCACGAAGGCTGCAACAGCTAGTTTATTTGAATTTAATGAAGGGGTATCGATGCACCTTGATAGTGCACCGATGCACCATGTTATGGGCAGCCTTTTTGAGTAGAAAAATCATCCCCAAACGGCTCCAAAACATCCCCAATAGCTTTATACAACATCAAACACATTTCAAGCTATAAATACAAGCTAAGGACACTTGAAGAAGTAAGAGAACAACTATCCAAGCAATCAAACACAAGAGAAGAGTTTTTCAATCTTATTTTATCTTTCTCTTGTAAATATTTTGTTCTTGTGAGCTCAATCTTGTAAACACCTACCTTAGAGAGGTTTTCTTGTTTACTTATTTTATCCTTTTGTAAAGGGGAAAGGTTCTAGCTTATCCCGTGTAAAAGCTAGGGAAAGGTTCTAGTTTAGCCCGGAAAAACTAGGGAGTTTGTAAGGTTACTCTTTGTCCTCAAAAGAAAGAACAAATTAGTGAATTTGTTGGAAAATCCTTGGTGATGAGCTAAGGTAGTGGATGTAAACTTGGTTGAGAAGTCGAACCACTCCAAATCATTGTGCATTTCTCTATCTTTTAATCTCCTTACTCCCTAAACACAAAAACCGATCCCGACCCTCTTTGCAAGCAATTTCGGTTGTCGATTCGAGCTTCCGAAAATCCCAACATGATCTTTCAATAGTTTCATCTCCTTTTGTGCTTCATTTACCGATACAGTCAAATATGTTTATATCTACCTTTTGTTCAAGTTTATTTGGTTAGGTTTTTAACCTTTTCCTTGTATGGTCATTGCGTGATCTTAAGTGACTAGTTTTTTGTGTTTAGGAAAATATCCTTATTATGTGTTTAGTTTACGATTTTGGTTATAAACCTTCATTTAAATCTAAATATTTTTTATTTTAAATAAAATTAACGGCTTCTATCAAAAGAAAATTTGACCTATTATATTAGATGTGCAAAAAATCATTTAACTATATTATTTGAAAAATGAAATAATTCTAATTTATTTTTTAACATTTTTCTTCTTGCATGGATCGGTATGGATACCATGTATCAATGTGTAGAATTTATCCATATATTTTAATTATTATTTTAATAATCGATGGAAACAGTAT